GCGCCTATACCTTTTCCGAAGCAAGCCAGTCCTTTACGGAATCAAACTCCTCCTTAAGAATATTCAATCGAATTTCTAACCACATCAAGCTGAATCCATCGTCTTGACCAATTGCAAATCAGTACAAGTGTACTCAGAACGTCTGCATCGGTTGGTGCAGCGCTCAGCCAAGAAATCACGTGATGCAGTGGACGCGAAAACAACTCGTGAGCTCATTCACTGTAGGATGGGTGCGGACTAGCACGCGGCATCTATGGGCGGTTGAGGAAGTACTGTAACTTCCACCCACTCACTTACGCGGCATCAAGACACACAACGCAGAAGTGGGCGGCCATCCGCGTGCTCACTGTTACGCGCAGACAACCAGACATGAAATCAACTCGAGACAGTATCGATTGCACTGGGTTGGGTGAAACACCGTTTGACTGAAGAGATTAACCTAGGGAGTGACCGAAAATTAAGTTGGTTGAGACAACCGACAGTGACATTGCGCGCTATGTCGTTCTAGCTCGGGTTTCAGTCGGAAGTAGGCACTGGAGAACATGATGGTATCATTAGATCGCCAATGTCCACTATGTTGTACATAGTACTGGCAAACTCCAGTAAATGGCCAAAAGTTGTTGGTGTCAAGTGGATGGCACATTTTGAACATAAAAGTGGATAAGCAAAGCTAGTTTGTGAGGAATCGGAAATCGGCCACCATAGAGTAGCACATCGCCATTCCTTGACTGTTCAGTTTGCAAGAATGAATAGCTTCCGAACCGATATATCGTCAACCGACGGACACAGATGGGACACAGTACTACAATTCCGATCTCTGTGTTTCACAGATTAGGCCATGTGCACAGAGAAGGAAGTAGACAGTAAGATAATTCCTGGATAGTGGACACCCGAAACCGGTAGTGAAAGCCACGTTTCACAATCTGCTGAAATCACATTGAAGATATACAGCGGAATGGATTGGGACGATAAGAATATTATAGGTAGAAGGAACTGCCTTTCCCTTTCCGACGGCACTAACCAAGGAATAAAACTCGGGATCTGTTCAACAATGGTGTACCTGAAATACACACTTTTCGTAGATAAGATGACTAACGGTGTTCACAAATGTATTCACAATAACTGTGAATATGTGTGTATATGAGATACCGCGAACGAACTGCACACAACGCTGCTGGAACACCTGAGGCGCATTTTACGATGACGTCTAATGCTCTACTGTGAGATTCAGCGGTGGTGACGCACCTGTTAGGTACGGTGCATGTAAGGTGGCCAGATTATTGATGAGCCAAACCGAGACGCTTCCAGATTTTTTGCACGGCAAACCGAGACATTTAACCTACCCCCGTTTGTTTCTGCATATGTTGATCGTACAATATATTGCAAAGATACATATCTACATTTCTTGCATCAATGCAATTATAAAAAGCACTTGCGTTATTAGTCAGTACAATGGCAACGCTACTGAAGTTTTAAATAAATAAATAAATGGCATATTCCCGCTAGAAGGAGGCATACAAATGAAGGCACGACTAAATATACCTACAAACATAGCTGCTTTGGAACAGTAAAAGGTGTGGTTAGAATAAAGTACAACCAAAATTTTCGTCGTTTACTCACTTAAGCAATTCGTGGATTAATAGTGGGATCCCAGAACATTATGGCGCTGGTTTGCGAAAAAAGCAAGTTTATTACTATTGTGGCAATAGCCAACGGTCGGCATGATTTCGCCATGTTGTAATCCATGATTTCATGAGCATAGGTCTGGGTGCTGCATTAGCATGTCGTGAATTTCTTCGCAAGGATACACGACACTCTTTTCTTCAGAACTGCATTTCACCACAAGTATTGCTTTCAGTGTTTAACCGCTAAACTGCGTTGTCCAGAATCTACTTTGATTCAGTTTGGAAAAATGTATAGTGCTGCGTCTGAGGCACAAGTTGGTTCATTCTCACAAAATCGGCAACCAGAGCTGCAAACGTCTTCATTTCACTGATTGGGAACACCCTTGGGACTGTATAAGATAATTACTAGTTATTGTATTGGTACTGATGAGACAATATAAAATGCGTGCATTTATCAGTGATCGTCTTCTCATTATGTTATCCAAACAATTGGAGGGAACTAACTGTTATAAAAAATAAACAGTTTATTTCTCGGCGGTGCGAGAGACTGTGACGGCATAGGGACAAATCAATGCTGACTTGAATTCCCTGAGGCCGGTCACATATGCAATTGTTGTGTCCCACTGACGCAAACCGAACTTTGGCGAAGTATGTGAATGGATGGTGTGTATCCGTCCACACGTGACGTACACTGTGCGGCCAAATACAGCAACACGTAGTGCCCCAGTTAAAACACTCGTATGTG